TACCATGCGAGGAAACTCCCACATCTCTCAGGTTCGGGCTGGCAAGCGGCGCCTGCAGCGGAAGAGGCCGTCTTAATTACAGCCGTCGTCAAGAGTCACTCATCACCCACCACTAGCATGAGTAAACTAATTACCTGCAACTCTGAAGTCCTCACGCCTCTGATTTCTCTTACGCACCATGTCAGCTCGCCCGAGCTCATGCAATCGTGTGGGATTGCCTGCACCATAACCTGCTAGTGCGTTCAGTCTCGTGCGATTCCCTGCAATTTCCTGCGCACATCCTGCTTGTACCAGATATGGGGGCCGGACTACATGCCGGATGAGCAACAAAGAGCAAGGGCCAGTCTATTTTCGCAGCCAAAGGGCTGTGCCATCCGCCCAACTCCCACGAAAGTCAAGGAGACCTTAGGGTGAAATAGCGACTCTCAGTTAGAAAGGAGAGAAGCATGGCGATCGAAGAATGAGACAAAGAGTGCTCGTAGCAGAAGAAGCAGACTTCACGGTCTGCAGTGGTTGTTTTGTTTTTGTTGCTGCTGCTGCCGCCGTCTCTACGTTCGACCCGGACATGAAGCCGTCATTGCTACTGTTGCTGTGAACGGTAGCTCCGCCACCTTGATGTTCAAGTCCCGTGCCAGCAGATGCATCACGAGCACTGTGAGCATCACACGTTGTTACCTTGCAATAGCAGCCTGAGGGAATACCCTTCTTCCCAGGTCCATTAAGTGAGGCTTTTCCACGGATAGTCACAGGCATGCCTCACACGAGAAGGATACCAACATCCCTGACGGAAGCCTTGCAAGTTCCTGGCCCAAGTTGGCTGCTGATGGGCCACGTAGGTCAGGCTGAGCAACAACGCAAGGGAGCCGCTCACCTGGTTTCGTGTGAGGTCTGGAGTCTAGCTTTTGGACTCCAAGTTGCGGTCTCTTCTTCGGTGCCCGTGTGTTTTGCCGCATTAAGGAGAAGAGTACAACATGCAGTGTTCATGCTGCATCCTCTGCTCTGCTGATTTGCACCTGCGCCCTTGCTACTTGCCAAAAATTAGAGCAACTGGGAAAACAGCGACAGGAACGTCAACATCAACAGTGGGCAACAACTTTTATACGGCGGATGACGGTAGCTAGTCCAGCTAGTGGCTATCATCATGAAAGTCACCTTGATGCAAACCATGCAAATTATGAAGGTACGGGAGTTTCTAATCCTTACATAACCCTATTTCCATGCTTATTTTCCATGTGATTTTCCACTTGCTTTTCCACGGCTGGGGTACTAGATACCCTCATATTCCATATCCTTATATAAAGCCTAGATATCCTTTTGTAAGCTATACAGCCCTACGATGGTGCTTGCCTCTGCGAAGGGGCCACCTGCACGGGGCTCCAGGGCGCCCGCCTCCACCTGCAGCGTTCTTTCTTGACCCAAAGAATGCCAAATAAGGATAAGGGTTAAAATACATGCCCCTTAATATTAAAAACTACCCTTCTTAATTTGTGGTATATCTTGTAGCAGATTGTCAGTGTTTCATATTGGGTGGGGTGGGGTGTTTTAATACTAGGGGCAGGGCAGCATGTAGGCTTCTATAACAGTATGTAGGATTTATATAGAAGCAGAATAGAATGTATTTCAGAGAGTTCAGAATAAGAATACAACATCATGTCCATGTGCTCCGGAACTAGGAGACATGCTGCAGGGCTGTAGCTTACTCTAGATGCGCAACCTGACGACCACGACCGCGCCGCAACAACAAGAAACCGGATGTAACCACAATCCCGACGATGATGATGACGAAGAGAAGGACGATGATGATGATGATGATGATGATACCAACTATCGCAACAGCTGGCAGGAGCCACAAGCACACGAAGGCACTGCGAGCGTTGTGGAAACAAAATGATCTTTTGCAGGCCCCAGGTTTAATTTCTGCTGTCCTCAAGCTGCAGGAGGAGAAGTGTGCCATCAAGCTCTGCTGTCTGCTAAAGCAAGGCAACCAATCTAGGGGCCCAAGAGCCAGGCATAGACTGGCAAGGGACAATCCTTTGGATCTCACTGTGTACAAAATGAATCCCAAACCCTGCAACTCGAGGCCCCTGAGCCCATATTCGCCTGCTGCTGCCAGCGCAGGCGCCCAAACAGCGCCAAGCCTGGGACCTTCAGGGATGCTGAGCTTACAAATACAGATTGATAATATAGCGACCTAGAGAACTCTGAGCAAGTTCAGCTGATCTTTCAGGGGGTTATAGGGCTTTTGAAGACTGAAGTGCTCGCAGGTTTTTTGAGCAGGCTTGCACTTGACTGCGTGAACAATTCAGTGACAAATCTTGTTACTGGAGAACGAGGTTCACGAGAGGGGGCCGGGGGGCCTTGTGGCAGGAGATCTTGTTCCATGCAGTTGTCTCGTACCCCAGGGTCACTAAATGATGGTTGGAGATGGGCCAGCGGGCGAGGCTTTTTTCAGAAGCCAGTGCTGTCGTGTTTGGCTAGTTGCAGGACTGCCGAGCCCTGGATCATGGATCCCTGCTGTAGCACTTACAAAATATTTTCAGGAAGCCGCGTCTTAGCAATAAGGAGCGGCCCCACCACATAGTAGGTGTAGAGCACGGCGCCCGCCAGAGCACAGATCACAGGAAGAGGCCGGAGCTTCCGCCAAGGCGGCGCCGAGTTGAGGACGTCCACCTTCGCAGAAAATTAAATCAGCATGCATCACTAACTGAGAGTTCAAGGAGCCGCCATGAGTTTAACAAACAGCCCTCTAATCGCAGGATTTGGGCAATCGGGTTAAGGCATGTCTGGCGTGAGTACGCTTCGTGCCTGAGAACGCAGGAACCTGCAAGGTTGTAAACTCAAGCAGGCATGGGGCGAGCTCGAGAAAATCCTACCTTAGCGGAACTTCCTCAAAGCCTGGTCGTGATTGTGCGCATCATCTAAGGCAGCTTGCTGAGTTCTGCTTGATCTTTCTTTACGTAACCTGGCCACTCGACTTATGCACCTTCTTTTGCTCGTCACGTTCTCTTCATGCAAGGCAGCAGCACAGTCGCAACTCATGTGAGCAGCAGTCGGAAGAAAACCCCGAAACCCTAAAGCCTACCGGAAATCCTTGGGAAGTATCTCCTTCCGGCACATTCCTAGCTGCTCAACGCAGTGAAGAAAATCTGCTTTCCAGGGAACAAACCATGACACGTGTGGAGATCTGCAGCATGAATCTCACAATCAGCTGTAGTCTAAACTCCTCAAATGGAATTTCGTGAATCGTGTAGTAAAGGACACATGGTGTGCTCCATGAACACCGCATGAAAGCCATGACCTTTCTATGCGTGCCTCCTTTACTCTACACAGTGCAGGGCCACGCCAGCTTAGCCAGACTTACCGACACAGTTACAAATTCACAAAACTTCCCTGTAGTCCCATATTCTGCCCGTGAAGAGTTGTAACCCACTTGAGCTACGGCATAGGGCCTGGGTGAGCTTCCCGCGGCGCAGATCAGTGAAGTCCGGCGCAGCAGTTCGGGCCATGGAGCCATGGGTTCCCTTTTATTACAGGTATTTACAGGTCTGGTTTTAGGACAGATAAACGCTGGCGTGCAAGCGGGCTCGAGGTCAAAGACTGGTGACCAGAAACTTGCAGTACCTGGACCCCAAAAGTAGGTAAAATAATAGCCCTAAACCCCTAAAACCAACCTTTGGGGGTTCAGGTAGGCGTTAGGGGTTCAGAGGTGCAGGCTCCCTCGTCCTCGTAAGAAATACAAGGTCAAGTCTGCGGAGGATAAGACGTGCTTTAACAAGTGCTCCAGTTCAAGAATTGCACGGGGAAAGCGAGTGTGGCTTACCTTCTCCTAAATGAACATGGAACCTGATATTGAGCAACTGGGCAACTTTGTACGGGTGAGTCTTTGCACACCGCCCTCCGGTGATTTGGGCTATGGCGGCTATGGCTTTTGCAGATGAGGGCCGCTCTTGGCAAGTTTAGGTTCTTCTCATCATTCCTGGAAGGGTCTTGTGGCCCATGGGGCAGTTCCTTCGCAATCTTTTGTGGATAGCAGGCCGCAATCAAATTTTGATACGGCCTGCAAGGGTCATGAGCTCTTGCTTGGTACAAGTCATGTTTATGATTCTAAGGAGACAGTTGAAAATACAGAATCACCTTGCATGCCGCGCTCCGGCCCCTTTATGATCCCAAACTGTGCCAGTATCCCATCTGGATCTGACTGGGGCCAAAGTTAGGACGGGAATTTGTCTAAGAGGACCGGCAGGTAAGATACCATGTTAGCTGCTCCCATGTTGAGCACCACAAAAAGGCAATGCAACTACAATGCAGCTCTTTTGTGGAACTGCAATGCCCTTGCACTTGCAAAGCTGCTGAGCAGAGCAAGGAAAGGTTCAGGAATTGCAGTGGTGTTGTACGCGAAAATGCTTCAACTATCCGCGCTGTCTCTTCACTTGGAATAAAAATGGCTCAACCGCGCCGAGATGCAGCCTGTGGGCATGCACTTGCCTTTACTAGAAGGTTCCTGCTCAAAATTGCACTTTTTCTGTCCCCGACGAGGTCTTTGTGGGTCTCTTCGCAACGCCCGTGATGTGCTGAAACTGTCAAGAGCATGCTTTGGGCAACTCCAGATCAACCAGTGCCAGTACTCACCGCTTGAATGCTTCTGCAGTCGACCAGCTCTAACTTACATAATCGCAGTCAGTATATTTCAACTCTGGCCCAAGGCATGCCTTGAATGTGTGTGCCTAGGCTGTGGAGGCAGCCGACCGTTTGTTTTAGGTTGCAAGGCCATGCTGTTCAGCAAGACTGTACTTTGAGAGCAAGGCTCAACAGCTCATGATGTAGAACAATTATACAAGCAGCAATGTAATTCTACGACAGGTGGTGCCGTGAAACTGAAGCTTCAATATAAGAATAGTTCTAAAGGCCCGTGCCTTGATAGCAGTTATTGCACAAGCCACTAGCGTATGAAACTTTGACCTGCGCCCCGACACAGCTTCTAACTACCGAGAGTCCTAGCTTCACAAACTTGACCGGGACCTCTCGTGAAGCATCACAGCTCCTCGCCTTTCTTCCTCAAGATCTGACGGCCTGTTCAGGGGTCTTGAGTTTCAAATTGCTTCAAGTTTGGGAGCCGGGGGAGGGGCAGAGGTCTGCTATGCAAAGCTGCCAGGAGCTTCAAATGAAAGGGTTTAAGCTTTGGGGGGGAATCTGCACTTAAAATTAAACTAGGAGAGCTGATTCTGAAAGCTGCTTTTTGTGGTAAAAACTAATAACCAGTTGCTGGCTCGACCGTTGCTTGCTGAGATACCACTGAAGTAGCCTGGGGCAATCTGCTTTTGGACCCCTACCTTCTTTTTGAAGCCGGTCGTGCAATATACAAGCAGCTGCGGCATGAAGCTTTCTAAACGCTAGGACTGCACTCCGTTCACTGGCCCTCCTGCTGCTTGTGGTGTAAGAAAAGGCGCCCTGGAGCTTGCAAGGTAGGATGTCTGTACACATGTATGGCAACCATGGAGAAGCAACTTTTTTAGGGTAATGTGTTTCTGAAGGTTTTATCAGTACCGAATTTCTCGGCAGCGTTCCTGCGATGAGAAGAGACAGGACAGCTGTCGCGATTTTCATAATTCAGGGGGGCCCGGACTAATCTTAGGGTCCCACCTGTTTCTGGGTCTTACCAGCAAACAACATGAGTAGCCTTCTTTGATAGGTTCGGGCTTGCAGAAGCGCAACAATCTCCCCAAAGTCCCCAACTTGCAATAAGAAGAATTGGTCTCAGTTTGCAATCATTGTGACTTTGGCCACTTGGACGCAGGGATCCATTGTATGCCCCGCACGATGGAAGCATTTTTTTCCATATCCGGGCCGCTCGCTCGGGAGCACCCAGCCGCTTCAGACCAGACAGCGAAACCGAGGAAGTGGCTTGGCTTTGAGGATTTGCTTCAGCATCTTCAAAGTGAAGGTCCTCAAATTTCCAGGTTGGCTTCCGCACACGCAACTCATTGGCTTGGGTACGGTACTGCCGCTTTGCCGGCTGCCAGCCTAGAGGACTGCTACTCCAATGACAACTGCCACTACTACTGCCAGCACTACCTACTGCCACCACCACCGTCGTTGCCACCCTCCCAACCACCACGAAAACAGCATGATAAGAATGACCATCGACTGATACAATATACATGAACAAAATGACAGCAGTGCTACTGCTTAGAGCATTGGAAACCACAGTATCCCAGGCTTGATGTTGGCTCAGCTTTGAGATCCTGACGCCTTCTCGCGGGCATCGGCCTTCAGAGTGCCTAGACATGTGCAGGAGCAGGGGATGCAGGGAGGGGGGCGTGCGAAGCAGGCGGGGGAGCAGAACCGTTCTCGTTATGTTGCGATGCCCACTTTGCCGGTATTGCTGTGCTCTCACTACTGCATTCTATGCATGATCCCATCAAGGAAAACGGGGCATGGCCTTCTTCGTTCCCATGCCAGTGTTGCTGTGGAGTCTTGTTGTGCAGTTGCCGTCCAGGACAAAAGGTGCCATGATTGAGGTGTTTCATCCTGATGGGCCGCTTGCGGTAAACTAGCTTTGGCTCACGTTTCTCAAAGGATATCCGTCTGCAAAGAGAAGACCTCAACTCATTGTTACATGGTCGTGTTGGCGAGCACCTTTGCCTGCGCCGCCCATGTTTTGGAGTAACGAAGGTAAGATGTCTTCCTCCAAAGCAGGCTCGGTCTGGCCTACCCCCGAAACAGCTAAGCTGAATCGGAAACAGTTGACTCTGTAAGAAGCCAGTGCACAATCATCGAACGCCATATAGACGCTGTGGGCTTAGGACATGTGCCCGAATGAAGCTGTAAGTTCATGCACACGTTCAAAAAACAAAGCTCAGGGCTCAACAGAATTAGGCCTTCAGAGTAGGGTGGGTGGGTGCTGATAGGCACATTGTATGTTTCATTGTGGGCAATATCTCGAGATCACCCAGTTTAAGGCTGAAAATTGTCTTCAGCACAGCGGCCTTCCGTCTGCTTAACGAGCTTGGCAACCTGCAGGCCATGACAAAGGCTTTACAGGACATCTCTGGCCTAGGTAGGCAAAAAACAACACTAGTCTTACTGCAGGATGCTTCATAGTAATCACTTGAAATTTTCCCTAATTAGCTAGTGGCAGGCCGTGACAGAAGGCGAGCTGCAATTGCAGAATGAAGCCGAAGCTTGTGGAATGGAAGCAGGCTTGTAGGCTTTAGGGTTTGCTATGCGTGCAGTCACGGCAAAAGAGAGAAGCACGTTCACGACCTAGCCCTACGACAAAAACTCATTTTTGCAAGATTGAGGCTGAAAGCTTCTGGAGACCTTGGCCCCGAGCTTTAGATGGCCAGAAACAGCAGACAGTGCAGAACCACCAGGTGGTCCAATCGACCGTCCAATGCAAAGTTCTGTTATTTTGCCCTGCAGGCAGCAAGGTTACGTATGAGAAGCTGCTCACTGGAGCATGACGAAGAGCCATAACGGCCAAACATGTTTTGTCACGACTGTTCGTGTAGAGATAAGCATTGGTTTCCAACCACAACCCCTCCACTTCCCGCATAACAATGCCACTGGAATCCGATGAACAATTTCTTCAAAACTCTTTTCCAGCTGCCCTTCTTTTCAATCCCCGCTTTGCCTTCAAAGTAGGACCTTTAGTTCAAGCACGTCAGCTTCTAGCAAACTTGAGTCAGGCTTGAGTACAGGTGCCTTCCAAGCTTTCAGATTTCAAGAGTCGCAGAGGCTCGAAGGACCACCCCAAGACCATCACGGGCCAGGATTATAGAAGAACATGTTGTCAACTCTGGACCAGCCGATCCCGAAATGCCTTCGCATCTTTACCCAAGCCCGAACTACTTTTGCGTGATGCTGCCTCTGCTTCCACCTCGGCCTGAGGACTCTTTGCCTGAGTAGGGCCACGAGTTTTGGGGGCACTTGAGGCTTCCGGCTCGGTTTCACATCAGGACAATCCTTAAGAGAAGAAGCTGCGCAGAACGCCTGAACGCCTTGGCTAAATTCTTGGTGGGTACCTGTGAATGTCTACGCTGTTTTATGCAGGTTGGGCTTGGCTTTGAATTCTTGGAGTTCGGGCTGGGAGCCTAGGGGCTTAGCCGGCCCACGGTTTGGGAGTAGTTCCTGATAGCCTGACATTGTTGCTTAGGACGGCACCCAGGCGTCTAGCAGGGCAACCTCGTTGGACCTTAGATCCAACAACTCTTCTTTAGCCTGCAGGGATCCCAGCTAAAGCTGGAAAATTGAGAAAATGACATGCAGCCATCATTCTGCAAGAATATGCAACATATAGGAAAACAGGAAGCCAAAAGGCTTGTAGTTCCTCTGCCTGAGGCGGTTATGGAAAAATATGGGAAATACACGACACCCTGGACAAAGCTTCAAACTACGGAAACATGTGGAACATATGTGAAAATGTAGCTGAGGAATCCTCGGACTTCATTTTGCAGCCATATTCTTCAGCATCTTGGGCCAATTGGGGTAATCAAATTTCATATTCTCGGGGCTGTGTCATTGAACATATTCTCCGCAAAAATCCCAGGGGTGCAGTGGTTGAGTGGCTAGGGTTTTAAGGTTAGGCTTTGAAGACATGTAAGCGTAGGGTTGAAGACCGCAGGGTTGGCGTTGAGCTTGCATGTCGCAACACATGCATCTTTTTCAGCTAGGAGCGGAAATGCTGACAGCGCGCTACTTGGTCTCAGGGCTGCCTGCTGCAAGGTCTAGATTGCCCTTGCCATCATTTTGGGCGCAGGCTGAGGAAAGTCCAATTTGATGAAGCACAATGCAATTCTGGCCGCACGTCTGTGTGGAGGCTAGCGACTACAACTACACATAGAACTCCTGTAGTTCAAGTTAACTTTCCTCTTTCTCCTGCCCCAACCTCTGCCAGTTTGTTTTGATTCTGACTCGGAGCGCTGCGCATGGTAGCCCCTGGCCTAGATCTATAAGACCTTACACCTTAACCCTGCGGGCGCAAACCAGATCCCCCAAGTTGCTTGGGGCCTGAGCCCTCAATCCTAGTAGCACAGACCGGCTTCCTCGGCTTCTGGTGTATAACCCGATCTTAACTAATCCTCAAAAGCGCCTAGGCCCCTCGAGTCGTGCTCACCGCCAAAGCTCAAGGAGAGCCTGAGTGTGGGCTAGGCATAAGGCTGCAAGTAGGTGACCATTTAAGCTTCAAATCCTCTTGAGTTGACGGGTGTTTAGGGTTTAGGCTTTACCGGAAACTTTGCAGGGCTCAGGATTAGGATTGAGCAGTTGAAGGCGGCTTTCTCCCGAGCCGTTTGTTTACACGGCTATGGGGAGGCGTAGGCCGATGAGTACAGGCCGCATGCTTTGCACCAAACATCCCCAGTTGCTGGGCGTTTAAGTGGGAAGAGGAAGTACATTTTCACCACCTGTTGAAAGACCTGATCAAACTCAAGTTAGGGTGTTGATGTAGCTTCCCCCCTTGAATGCCAAGTAGACGCCGACAGATTTTGAAAGGGGCCTGTCCCATACATTAAATCCCTGAATGTGAAGCATTCGGACGGGGACGCGTTATGGTTCACAGTAAATATCTCCAGACGACCAAAATACGTACTGCAGGTATTGGGCGACACAGTTCTGGAACCCATGTCACACAAAAAGTAGTACAGTAAATTGTGGTCTGCAGGCATGACACATTGAACCACCTTGCACCTTTTGTCTGATCCAGAGTTCGGGCGGAACAGTCAGAAAGCTGGAAGGCTTACCATCACTAGCAACTTGTTGTGCTTTTACCAGTGCCGAGGTGAACAAACAGCAAAATCTGGCTTGCCCAATAATGGCTGAGGCTCCCAAATTTAGATTGGAACAAGATTGATTCAGACCCCATGGAGGCTTTGTCATGCTCTGCTTTAATGGGAGTGCGCAGAGGCCAGGATCTATTGCAATTTTTCGGATGTCTGCAAAGCTCTGCATGCAGTTGGGTCATGCAAAACACTCTTTTTTTCTGCGAGCTACTTTTGGGATTTCGGCCACCTTTGACTTCAACACCTTTGACTTGGCAGAAAATGTGACCTGTGGGTTGAAGTACCTGAGAGGAAAAGCATGTCGTACTTCTTTCTGTGAGGTGCATGTGAATAACAGGGCGAAGAGATCTACACGGCCCTGCTATGAGTAGTTCCTCTGGCTTGTTTGCTGCCCCTTCATGCGCGTAAAATCTCGTCATGTCACGACGTGATGCGGAACACGATTCAGCATTGCGGCTATTCCAGCAAAAGGAGTCTATACAGCAGCCTCCACACTCAACAATCACCAGACAAATGGCACGAACAACAGTTGCAGTTGCGGTGGCAATAGCCTACAGCCATACATGGCAATGATACTTGCTCCTCATGCTTCGACCCGCATCACTTTAACGAGATCATCAATATGCAGTGCTGGGGACGGTTGTAGCAAGAATCAAAACCTATTCAAACCGACGCAAACCATCAACTCGGAACCCAAAGTATGGAGCCTAGCCCAACGAGCTGGAAACCTCAACCCCTGGGCGCTTCGCCCGTCGGCGGGAAGCCTGGGAAACCACCGCAGCCACCACCGCTGCTGCCATTGCCATGGAGGTCCTCCCCAAAAGGCCGATAAGGTGCAACAAACAAATTTGTCAGGAACACTTCAGGAACCTCATCTTTTTGAGGATTCCGGGTTGCCGGACGACAAGTAGGGCTAGGATGTTCAACTTCAATTGCGCCTGATCAATGAGCAGCCTCGCCCAAAATGAAAACAACACATGTCAGAGTTGAAGCCCAAAGACCTACCTCAGACATGGAAGATGCTGTCCTGGACCTGTTGCATCTTTTCCTGGGCCTCCTTCAGCTTCTTCTGCGTCTCGAGCATCATCTGCCTGTCTGCTTGCATCCGGCTAAAAGACCCGTGGGCTTAATAAGCAGGGATCCTGCATATTTTTGGGAGTACGCGGTATTCTAGGGCCGGTGTGCCTTCTGAGGATGTCATTCGAGATTGCAATCGGTTTGGTTTTTCGAGAGCTGCATTCGAGGCGAACAATGTCTATCTGGAAGGCTTTGATGTGAGAGGCCTGCATGCTGCGTCAACAAACCGAACTTCAGAACTCTGCTTGGATAGACGATTGGAAAAGCAGTTTTAGCGGAGGCCTATGCCCGCACATGCCCACGTTCAAATTAAAAACGTTTGAAGTTTTCGCGGCAAAAACAAGTATGTAGTGGAGGGGTACGTCCTTTGCATGTATTCATACATATGTACACACACATATGAATGCACAAAAGCCTAGACTGACACGAGACATCTCAAAGCCTGTCTCTGCCTAGACTTGGGCACCTCATTGTCCATAAGTGCACCCAAAGCTACATAAGGCTTTGGGTGAGACACAACTAACTCCAAAAGGACCCAGTTAAGGGCATGGATGGAACAACCTTATTTCAATCCAGTGCTCGCAGGGTATGTCCAGCCAAGCTTCGCCATCATCATCATCGGGTTCATGGGCGTAGCCTTCCAACTTCCTACTTCAAAGAGTCCACTTCTTGACGAACGGTCTGCAAAACACTTTGTCCTTATCCTACTGCGTTTGGGGCCAAGTACAATAACCCACACTGAGGTGGAGTCATGTGTTTGTATATACATACATAAACAAATAATCACATGCAAATGACCATGTAACATCATGTAACATTGTGTGAGGCAATCTGCTCCCATATGATAGGCTCTTCAGCTTCTCAGGCGGCCCAGGGACATTACCGGTGCTGCTACTCGCCGTATCGCTTGTGCCCCCACAGCCGCCGGCACCAAAAAATCCTTCGCAGGGCAGCAGGCTTTAGTCTCAAAGCCAGGGAGAGCTCACTCAAAATGATCCACTTCATAGGCACCATAAAAAGCACTCCACAAGTTTGAGAACCCTGGCCCCCTCCCCCCCGGTCTATAACGAGGAAGTATCAGCCTCGCATTCGTCGTTAGGGCAGGCTACAGCTGCAGCATGGTCATGCCCACAAAGCAAATCATGAATATTGGCGTGCTTTCTATCAAGGTAAGATAAACGGAGAAAGTCGACACTAGTTGGTGAATCAAACTCGCAATTTGTTCACCTGAGCATGTCATTTTTAATCCTACCCAGCCCACCGTCATGAAGTCTTCACTTGCGCTAAAGGAGCGAGTTGCAATTGAATGAGATCCCTTACGATCTCCATTGCCTATCCTTGGCAAGTCCAGTCCGATAGAGTAAAATACGTAGGCCTCCATCAATAGCAAGACCCCACCACAGCACACAAAGGACGCTCACTCCATCCTGCCATAGAATTCCCGATCCCTCCTTCAACAAAGGAACCCATACACAACTTTTCTGCTTTCAGAAACACGGCCCTGACAGGGGCTTGTTTGCCAGATCTGCAAGTGGGCAATTGCCTTGCCCCATGCCACTGGACGAGCTTGACGCACCTTGTGATGGATGGATTGTCGGATGCTTTCTGTGGATTCTGTCCGAAGTACTCAGGGCAGTATGTGCTTGATGGGCAGTAAATATGGATTGGCATATGCGGGCATGTTCTGTAAGAATTCGACGTATTAGGCATCTGGATTTACGGCGCAAGGGCCATGTACGAGGCGTTTAGCTCCAGTTTGTCGGGCTATAGGCTATCGATCATCGCTTGTCTCCTTGATAGGGAACCGCTTGGCGGTGTCCTCACCGTGAAAACGTGAGCCTGAAGCGCTCCTGCCTCACGGCCTCATTACCTGAACCCCCAATGCGGCTAGAATCAGCTTGATTTCAGGCAGCCGAATTCTTTAGGAGTATAGTCGCGCAACAACGTGTGGTTTAAAAGGCTGACTCATGATGTGGGTTTCCAGAAGACTAGACGGGATAGGATGGTAGAGAATGTGCAGACTAAGTACGACGCGTCGAGTCTTACACGCTTGATACCTGAGGACCTTCTACAGCCCATCTTGTCGCCCGGTAAAAGCCGCCTTCGGGCTTGCTTTGAACGGTCTGTGCTTGTGGCTTCAGTCCCCCGGTTTGCTAATGGGAGCCTTGTCCCAAGCTTGTCGAACATGATTCCTTGCAAGTGTGACTACCGATAGATTGTGTCGACCTCTGCGATTCATTGCTCGCGTGTTTCAAAGATGTCCCGTCAGTCCCTACAAGTCCTTCATCTAAGGCTGGGCATTAGAACGGATATTCATGCAATGGCTGCGAGCCCCACA